AACTTTAAAGCAATCAAAACCTATGCTAGCACACTCCTGTCTGTGCCAACAAACCTTACATTCTTCTGCCAGATAGCAAAATCCTAAATTGCTAAATACGCACACAATAGAGCAGGCTCAACAAAGAATCACCTAGTGGAGCAGGACTGAATTAAAACAAAAACATATACATATATAGAAAATTAAAAGAAAAAAAATTAACACTGCTACGCTAAGTATTTCTATGTATGTAAAAACTACTCATGACCAATTAGCATCTGAATTATCCTCATGGTTAAGATCTAAACTGAAGCTTAGTGGAAGAATTATAACTGGTTGCACCACACTTGAGGAATACTTTAAAAATCAGATCTATTAGAAAACATTCACATGATTTAAAAATGTGCAGGTTTATTGCACAAATTAGTATGCAACACCCACACAATTTCATTTAGCATGTAAGAACAGAATGTTGTTAGCTGAAATTAAGTATATTTATGTGCATATTGAGATAGTCAAGGTAGTGGTTAGGAAATCCATGTGTAGGAAGAATATTTTCTCTTTTACATTATTTGATTATTACTTTTAGATACACATGGCTATGCAATAATCTCTATCCTACATTTTTAAAAAGCAGAATATACAAGTAACAAGTATTTCACATAATATAAAGCCAGTCTGTTCATATATTTTTACCACTATCAACAGGAATTTCAAGCTGAATTTTACTCCGTGTTTCTCAGTGGTATTTGCTGCAAAGCAGTTAGTTGTTAGGAGTTCACTGGAATCTAACAATAAGAAAGAAACATTCAACCATACCTAAAAAAAATCCCCAACCCATAGAATGGTTAACTGGTGTTGGATAGTGAATGTATCATCACATACAATATTATCAAATCATAGTTAATTTATTTACTCACTTGTTAAGAACCAACAATAGTTTTTATGGCTATAAAACACATTCAACACATTTTACTGTGATAAAAGTATCACTGTTTTTCAGAATGAAATTTAAAAAAAATAATAAAAAAGTAGTAATTCAGAAGCTTCTGATTTCAGTTACAACAGAGATTTCCAGAAAAAAGGATGTTAAATGAGTCTGAGAATTAAATCTGTACCATAGCTAAAAAAGTAGATACCCTATCAATTCAGAATATATAAAAAGAGAGTTACAAAAATGTTGCTTACAATTAAAAATCAAAAATATAGAGACAATGGAGTTGAAGATACTGAATGTGTGCTTATCTGCATTACAAGAAACAAAAACGTGTGCTTCAGAAAGTATTTCCAATATGAAAAATCTGATGCTGTGGAAGTACAGGAGAGTAGCTGGGAGTGGAAGAAAAGCTCTAGTATTATAACCCACCCAATGGCTAAAAGTAACTACACTGACAATGAACAGCTGACCTCCAGAGCAGATCTCATCTGTATCAAACCTTTCTTAAAATCCAATTAACTAGTTCTCATGCATTTAGTGTATTTTATATAAATCTGAATAATTAAAGTGTATAAGCTTTACATAGGAAGTTCTGGACAGTAGTATACAACTCAAGACTAAGGTAAAATAAGAACATACATGAAAGTTAAACAGGAATGAAGTTATCCCCTAGTTGTAAAACAGCAAAAATTCATGCATGTAATGAATTCAGCTATGTGCTAACTGAATTACATTTTTTTTTGTAATTTTCTATTTTTCAACATAAATTAATCGAGGCAGAAAACTTCAATACAATTTGAATTAAAAGCATCCAAGACCTTACAAGTAGGTACTAAAAAAGGCACATTCCCCACAAGGGAGGGAACAGGAGATGGTTCTGTGGCTATGAAAATCTGAAGCTGAAAGTTTCAGATGATTGGAATATAAAGGTGTGAGACTGAAGCACATTATCAAGAATTAAGAAAGGATGTGGCCTATCACGTGTGAGATGTTCAGTGGCATCTGTGGGCATACGCATTTTTAACCTTGCATCCGATGCTCCTTATACATTGAGGTATAAGCTAAGAAATCTTGCATTCACTTCATAGCAGGAGCATATATAAGCAGTGATGACAGTGTAGACAATACACTATAAATGAACATATGTGGCACATCCAACAGCCTAAGAACTTTACCAGTTGACAGAGACTAATAGCCAAGAAAAATCATAAGGAAATCATTTGTGGATTACACTAAGAATTTTGGTAATGAAAGCAAACAAGAGTTACAAATCAACTGGTCAAAAGAATTCCTCTATTCTTTATTGTAATCTCATGAACGGCTTTGCATTGTTTTACATAATGTAACTTGAGAGGTGATGAAGGAAAAGACTTTCATGGGCTTAGTTATTAAACATTGAATATCTTTGAGGGAAGGACAACGTAATAAATCTTCACCAATATCTGTCACTAGGAGTTCAAATTAGCATAGCTTTCTTCATCCCTTGGTAATGGTATTAAACACAAGTTACACCAAACTATAAAGTACGTAGCTACCTATACTCTAAATTCAGATTTGAGCAGTCTAATCCTTGAGAATTAAATGCAAAGTTAAAAAATAAATAAATAAAAAATTCTTGCTCACCATAAAAGAACTTTTTAATAAGCTTAACTGGCACCATCACATTTCCTCATTAGAATGGGACCTTTTTTTTGCAGTATTACAACATGAACTGAATAAGATAGCATCTAATATAGTTTATTCATCTCTTGCCAAATATTTCCAGTACAGAAGCTGAAAAATGTAATAATTTTAATTAATCTTATGTTTGTAAGTGATAAGCATTTACTCTTCTCATTGAAGCCAATAGGAGTTACTAAAGCTGGGCAGCTTTGAAAAGAAGGATGATTCCCATACTTGCAGACTTTGTTAAGTAACTCTAAGCTACCTACATTTGAAACTGTTGGTCTCTGGAAATCTACATCTCTCTAGTGACAGCACATCTACCATTCCAAAACTTAATTCCTTCTAAACTGATACCCACAAAGAATAGACTTATTTTTGGTTTTATGTAATGCTGGGGGAGCACATAGTACTAAACAATAACAAAATGTGCCAATCCCCTACTACAATTTCTACCCCAAAGAGCTGAAAGGGTACAAGCTGTAAAGCACAGGAAATGCAAAACACAACACAACACAGACAGAATGACAAGTGGTTGTTATTACTGAAATGTGTTACGAAATTAAGTGGATTTTGAGGAGTTTTTTGAAGGAGGATAGTGAAGGATCTTTACGTACGTTAATTGGGAGGCTGTTCCATGTGTAGGAGGCAGCGTGGAAAAAGACACAAAGTTGGGAGTGAGCAAAAGAGACAAAAGGGGAATTAAGAGCGATGCTTGGGAAGTGCTGACAGTAAAGGAAATGAAGACCAAGTTTAAGCCAGAACCAAGAATGCCTTGAACGTGGCCAACTTTATGCAAGGGAGGAAAAAGAACTCCTGGCAAAGGCTTAAGAAGCAAGGAAACATGGGCAATTATACAGGAAAGGAGAAATGATTTGTGTAGCATGTCCCAAAGAAAAAAAAAATAAAAGAGCGTTAAGAAGTGGGAGACCAGTTCACATCAAATAACTAGCGTAACAAACATTTCAGTCTCAAACAATAGAAAAGAATTAACTTCACTGTGATTATGACCAAAAATGTGAGCCAGATGTGAGAAGTGGTAAGAACATTAGACTGCAGTGATTCTTTATCTAAAGCTGTTAATCATGTGAAAGATCATCACACACTGTAAAAAACACACGTCCAAAATAAATTCAAATGGAAAAGGTTAGGAAGAAAGGTGTTTCAAACATGCCATTCAATGCAGCAGTTCAATGCGTTTGTTGTGATTGTTCTATAAAATGTGTAAACTCATTTGATGCACAAATAAATTCTGCTCATACAGGGTTTTAGCTGCTGCATTCTTATTCATCATCACTGTCACCAGTTATGGGAAATACACAAACTCTCAGTGTACACTAAATTTTGATGAGGAAAACTTCTAAAATACAAAGCTACTACTTTTGAGAAATCAAATGATATATTTTCAAAGCATATGAAGGGCAATGAAATACTATGACTTTAATTGTTCTGAGCCAGAAGTACCTTTTTATACGGTCTAAATTTATTTTCCTTCCCAGTTACAATTTTGTGTCATTTACAAGCACGTATTAATCAGCTCTTGAGAGCTAAGTACAAAAAAACCTGACCAATTTGTCACTAACATTAGTAAAAGCAACTTTTATATTACTGAAGCCTTAAAAAATAATATTGGAATTAATATTGCCACTTCCTCTCCTTGACAGTATTTTCAAAGGAATTATAAGCATATAGATTGTTCTTAGTAAGTGCCTGATTTCTTTCGGGTTTAAGCACAAATCCAGGTCCAAGCAACTCATACCTTATCAGTAAGTGTGGAGCTTGAATATTTATACCTGAGTTCAACTCACAATGTCAATGATGTCCACCTCTACAACAGATTACATCAAACCATATTTTGCTAGAAACTTAAAAATGGACACCTAAGTCTCTACTCCTCTTCCACATAGTGATACTCCATTAGTAGGCCAAATTAGCAGGGCTTACTCTTTTTTCTGATTTTCTTTCCACTCATACTGTCATAAATTTACTGTTTAGATTTAGATAATTGAATGTTGGTCGTTTCCACTATATCTCAGTGAGAGGACTCAGTAAAGCAGTCTCTCTCTTTGTTTTCTTCGTGTGTGTGCGCATAAGTATGTGTGAAACTGCAGAAAAATAGAAAATACTAAATACATTTCCAAACTCTATTTTAGAAGGTCTCAATTTAGGAATGTTTTCTTTAACTGCAATTAGAGCTTGTAGGAAAATTCTTTTAGCTTCAAAATACAATTTGACTTTAAGAAATTCTACATAGCCTTTTGCAGGTGTTTAAAACGTACAAATAACAGGATGTCAGTTAGACCTTTAATTACTGAGAAAGAAATTTCTGTATCTCTGTGCTATACAAAAGGTATGTCATATACATGTCACTGAAAAAACTTACATTACACTAGCTCAAACACTCAGGGAAATCTCTACTTACCCACAGATCATGTTCAGCGTAATCAAACAGCAGCCAAACCTTTCTGTCACTGTGAGAAAGGAAAACCTTCTGCAATGCAATCACGTTAGGGTGCTTCAACTCTCGTAAAAGCTGCAGAGAAATAGAGAAGCGCTTGTTATTTCTGTACTTGTGAAGAAAACACAACAACAAAACAGGTCTTAGCACAAACAGCAAACAAGTAATGCTAAAACGGGCCCTAGAGGAGACAGCACTGATTGAGCACATTATCTTCAGAAAGGTCAAAATCAGGATATACACAGCCTCTGTGGCAGGGGTTGCTGCTCTGCCAGTACAGCTGACCCTCACCAGCCACCTTTGTCTGTCCCATACTCAGCACACACCTGCCCATCCCACTCGCCCTCAGCTTCTGTCTTTTATTTCAAGATGTTATTACACACAAACATAACTGTTATCAAAGGTGAACATGAGGATTTGAGGATGCCAGAATGAAGCTTATGCAGCTGGTCCAGTTCTTTGTGTGAATAACACAATTCTTGATCATCACATAATTACTGTGTTACCAATATTCTTCTTTTGCACTGGATCCCTGCCTGACATGCCTTGAAGTCCACTAGGTGGTTGTTCTCAGAACATAAGGGTGTTTTCAAAAGAAGGTTTACCAAATCCATTTTTCTAAAGGTTGTTTCAGCTCCTATCCTGTAATCCAGAAATAAACCCAAGCTTATTTACTGCTTGCCAGAAAGAAAACTAGGTCTCATGACTAATTAGACAGCACATTAAAGAAGGCACCGCTGTTGAAGTCATCCTTCTGCCAGATTAAATCAGTCTCGGAAGGAGCTGGGAAGCAGTACTCCCAAAAATATCATTTCCATGAAATCACTTTTTTTTCCCCTCCATACTGCCATCTCAAGAATGATTGATCGCTTCTGTTTTATCTGTAAATTGCTTGCATCTGCAGCACTAGTATATAAATTGCCAAGAATCAATTTATAATGGCAAAACAGTAAATGGAGTAGGTTCCAAGGCACATTTGAGAGAAATTAATCTTCCCCTTTCTCACCTTACAGAAAAAGACTCAAGATATTTATTTTGGGGAAAAAAAATAAGGAAAAGGATTAATTTGAAATTATATTATCCTTTGTCTATATAGGTATCTGTCAAGACAAGAAATCTTCTAAAGAATGTTACGACTGCTTAAATCTATTCCACTTTCCAAGCAAAAGAAGTCAATTAAATACTTCTTCTCCCATGTAGGAAGTGTCATCTTCTCTTTGTTTCTTCCCCCCCTAACACTAAGCATTTCTAGCTGTAAAAGAAATTCCTCCCTAATGAACTGATCAATAGTCATGTCCAAGTACTACTTAGGAGACAGGGTTATAATCATTTTGCCATTTAACAAATTGTATCAACTAACAGAATGCTGTAGATTGAAATTGTCTCTTTGACATGCATCAAGAGATGTTGTTTGTCTTTAGTAATATTAAAAACTATTTTGCAGTAAGGATTTGATGGGATGCTGATACCTTTTTTCTTTTGTTTGTTTTTTTTTTTTAATAAATGGTATCTCTCATTTTAGAATAATGTTTAACCAGGGGGACTAAAACCATTCAATAGGCACATTATTTTTTTTTTAATTGCTATTTATTTTTCTTAAAGATACTGTTGGCAGCAATAGCAATATAAAATAATTTCAAATTGTTGCTTTTTTTTTTACGGTGGGGAAAAAAAACATTCTCTCTCAAAATAAATAAGTAAAACTCTGCAATAAGAAACAACCAAAGAGTATATAGTTCCATATCAAATGCTAGCATACAATAAACAAGTTAACAGAAATATTATATGGAGTATAAGGTTAGAAAGAATGCCTGAAGTGTTGTGCATTAACAGAAAGGTGGTATATGAAAAAGAGACAGGAATGTGTATACTCTGCAGCTCTCAAACACCTCTGCTCACACCAATCCACACAGAGAAAGCTGTGTGTACTGTCGTGGTTTAAGCCCAGCCGGCA